CAAAGCAACTTCCTGCGGCTTTTCGGCGTGGCTTTCTCGGCCGTGTGTCGGGCTCACGGCATACTTTGGCTGCCTGTCACCTTGAGGTTAGCCTTTTCTGCTCCGTCTCTGGGGGCAACGACTGGATGACATACGGGGAAACCCTTCGGTTGGGGCCACTTGACACGATTCAAAGTTCAGTTTCCTTGGGCATTGCAGCCATCGGCTTGCCTCCGAGGCCTGGCGAGGTGTACTTCGTGCTTTTCGCTGGGCCCTCAGTTGATCTCAGTTACGTTCGGCCTCAGTTCTTGCGTTTTCGATGTTCCTGTTTGCTCGGCTCTGCCCCAAGCTGGACCTGCTAGGTGTTCTACATCTTCTTTACATTGGTTGGCCTGCTGAACGTGGTGACAGGTGACTCGGAAAGGTCGTGGAGTCTAGAGTGTCTACAGCTTTTGGTTGTACACTACTCTGCACAATACCTTCCGCGTGTTCGGTTGCGTTTGACAGTGGGCAGCTGGCGGCTAGTGCCGGGCCCCACGCCTTTTCGCTCCCACCCAGCCGCCAGCCTAACCATGAATCTGGCAACCACCTGGCAGTATGTGCACTAAGGTATATTTGTCGATTCGGCAGTGTGCACGCGGACGGAGGATGAGGTGTTGCGCTGAGCATGCAATAGGCAAGAATAGGCGTGGCCTTTGTGGGGCCAAGGGCGGTCGGCTGGAGGTGATGTGCAGTGCCCGATTCTGTTAAGCGACGTTCGCACACGAGCGCGACACCGCAAATATCAACCTTGCTCTATCGTGGCTATTCGCAGGTCGTCGAAAGCTTCACGGAGGAGCAAAAGCGTTTGTGTGGCACTTTGGCCTGAAGTTTAGCTTCAGCTCGATGGCTTCTCTGTCTTTCAGAGCTTCAGCCGGGCGAGTATACGTCCTCAGCATACCGTGAGCGGAGGTGAAATGCGCCGAATTTTCGCGTCTGCAGACATGGACGGGCCACTGTCCCGGAGTACCACCAGAGTTGGACTTCATGAAGTTATAGTGTCACGTAGTTCCCTGATGTACTGTCTGACTGCTCACAGGAATGGCTGCATTACTTTCGAGGACAGCGACCCAGCAGCTGCTGGCGGTTTGTAGCAGGGCTTTGGGCACCCGGGACGCTTCACAGCTGACTGTGATGCTGTGCAGAGTGGACTGAATTTTGAGTGAACTCTTGAATTCCTGACGATTTTAAGTTCTCGTGCATAAATTCCCTCCACCCCTGCGCAGGAATTCTGCAATCAGGCGGAGGATCCGTGGGTGCCGCTGCCAATCCCAGATGCTCTAAAACCACCGCCTTGATGGTGTTGTTTGCAGAGATACAACAGGCTCCAGAGGCTAAGGTGGTGGATTGCGGGTGCGTACAGCCAGCTTTCTGTACTGCACATTTCTTTCCACATGTCCAAGCATCCGGTGCCTTTTGGTGCGAGCATAGGTGCAAGCATTCCTCTCTGGTTTGGATATCGATATTTCTGATGCGCGGATAGTCTTCACGCTGCTGGATGTGGCGACTTTGATTCAAAGGATTCGAACTTTTTCAGGCTTAGCTGATGGCAGTGCACTTCGCGGGATGCTTTTTTTTGTTAGGTTTGTTTCGACTTGAACAGATTTGGTGATTTGGTGTGTTAAAACAATGAAGGTGCTGGTGTGGTAGAGAGGAGTGGCAACTTGTGCTGCTCCGTCTACTAGTATCGTCTGTTCCGTGACTAGCACAACCACATTAGGAAAAGCTTCTGGTCATTATGTACGAAAGCAAACCCAAGGATGGCAGTGGGTCATTGACGGTGGAGGACTACAGGGCTGCAGTCCGCACTAACATTCCGTCGGCAGTCCACAAAGCGAGTCTTGCATTGGGAAGTTCCAAGAGGACTCAGAGGACACTCGACATTTCTTCGTGTGATTTTCTCAGGAGTTTGTGGACGGCGCTATGAAGCTGAAAGGCCCAGCCAAGGGTATCGAACCTCAGCATCCAGATGAGATCGTTTTGACAGGTTCATATGTTTGAGACGAGGCAGAGAGCAGCAATTGAGAATCACATTGGACCCTCGTGGACGGTCGGGACATTGGACTACAGCTTGGAACCATGACAGTTTTCTCAATGCAAGGCTGGATAGTCACTGACGAGCCATATGACGGTCTGTTTCTGAGGATATGCTCGCGGTTATGTTCGACCTCGTCCGGTACAGCTTGAGGCCGCTGGCCAGTATCAACTAGCTGTTTAGAGCAGCCACGGGGACTGACTACACATGCCAGACACCCTTATTTCCTTCGTATCTACATGAGCCGCTCTCATGAGCAAAGCTGTCGTTTGGGTCTCAGGTTCTCGGATCTCTGCAGTTTCCTCGAGGAACAGACCGGCCAAATCAAGGCCCAACGCCTGACGTCCAGAGCTGCAGTGGCAGAGCTTGGGACAGTAGTCTAGGGCTGAGTCGCGGAGTCGGCCTTGACTAGTGCAATGATCGGATGCGGACGCAGGATCTACTTTCGAAGAATTCCTCACACGGGCCGTCCCGATACAGGACGGGTGTGAGAAGCAGCAGCAGCATTGCCAATTTCTGGGCATCGGGTCCCGAAGCGCACCGCTCCTTAAGATTCCCTATGTTGCTGGACTGCTCGAACCCGTGGTAGCCTTGCAGTGCTTAAGCCGGCATGTGTGCAATTGCAATGGGTGTCGGCTAGAGTCATGCAGGATGTTGACGACTGACTTTCGGAAGAGCTTAGGAAGAAGGTCCCAATATGTGCACCGGCTCCAGGACGGCTGAGGAAGAACTTGCACATCTATCGTAGCTCGGCTTTTTGGGCGGGTACTATATGGGGCAAGTTAGCACGTGGTGGATCCCATCGCTAAGGCGGGTCACGAACCGCAAGATGCAAGAAGTGACAATGCCGAGCTTGAGGAGCATCTGGGATTGCAGTTTGTCGGGCTTCGGAAAGGCAGAGCAAGTCGGACCAGGGAGCTACTGGGCAGGGTGTACGTACGGTGCCATAGCCACTGTAGTCCTTGCCTCACGTTTTATGAGTTCCAACTTCTCAATGTGACATCGCCGTACTTGACACGTGCCACTGCCAGTGTAAAGAACGAAGGCTTCTAACGAACCCGTGCTTCCACTTCCGTGCGCATTCAGGCATCGAGTCGACTCCCGCAGACGCGGTTGAAGATGTTGTGTCAATGTTGGCAAGCGCAGTGAAATAGAGCCCCCTTCAGTAGTGTCGCAGCCAAGCTGATGACCATGGGGCGAATATGGGCTGGGCACTTTTTTCTGGATCCGCAGTGTCCAGCCCAACGCTGGCAGCGACGGAGTGTGCAGTCACACTCGCCTGTTTTTTAGAAAGAGCTATAAAGCATCAGCTCTGCTGGGATGAGAGCCCGGGACACAAGCAAGACGGACTTTGTAGTGAAGGTTGCTTGGCATTTCAGTTTGGAGGTGGCCACTCCATGCCGCGCTCACTTGGTTCTTGGCTCTCACCTCCGCTTGCGATGCTACAAGAGCTTAGACGCTAGACTTTAAGAAGGCAGCAGGGCATGGATGATAACATCCGAACGTGCCGGCCGAAGCACAGGTCCAGGCTCAGATCCTATTCCAGACGAGCTTTTCCTGTGGCTATGCATGTCTGAAGGAAGGATCTTGGGCAGTGCCAGGAGACGAGGCAGAGTAGATGGATGGCTAGGTTTTTTTTTGCACTGGGCCCAAGATGATGTCAGGCAGTCTCCCTTTTTTCTGGCTCCCTGCAAGCAAGCAGATTATCTTCCGAGCATCGCTTCTCAAAAGAGGGCACCGGCGAAGAAGCTCCGAGAAGAACCAATTGCAATCGGTTCAATTGTCAAACACGTAGTGTTCCATGGAATCAACTTCTTGCTGAGGCCTTGCGATTTCAATCGGGGCCTTGCGCCGTGCGGTGGAGAGATGCTCACAAACTTTGACCGACGTGGTGTCCTGCCCCCCACACAAGCCTCAGAACCTTCTCAGACCCACACAAGTCGCACACAAAAGTCGAAAACACCTGAAGCTTTATGGAACGTCTGTTTGCCAACGACGTCAGCAAGGCTGTTCAAAGAGGCCTGCTCAGACGGTGCAGGCATGGATGATTTCGGGCATTGTTCAGTTGTCGGTTCCTCATGGTTCCTCGTAGCACCTGCCAAGCAGGTCCGAAGCGGCTGTTTAGACTGAGCTCGCAGCACGGGGCAACATCACTGCATTCCAGATTCCAGTGAGTATTGCCAGACTGGAGATTGCCCGGCTCGCGCAGATCGTGTTATCGAGTTTTACGCTGCATGACATCCTGCGTGGCACAACTCCGCACGGAGTATGCCCGCGTGAGCAGCATGACAAGCAGAACGGCATTCTTCGGTCTCTGCGCTACAAAATGAGTTAGTGGTGATGTCACACGTCCAGAACTAGAGCTGTTCTGCATGATGAATTGATCGTGCCTGGAGGGGGGGGGGCAGGGCGGCCAAACAATTGTAGTTCTGCAGGACGGGGTGTTGCAGTGTGTTTCATGAGATTCTATAGGATTGTATGGAGTCTTTTGTGGTTTTTACAGGGTCTGTAGGCGTTATGGGGTAGTTTGTCGGTCTTCTTTATAGGGGCTTAACAGCGGTCCAGTTGTGAGGGTTCGTCTTCGCACCCTACTGCACCAAACTTAGTTTCAACTTGTTTTTCATTCCTAGATGACGCAGTAGGAATTGCCACAAGGATCAGACTCATTCCTTTCTTGTCGCGGCATTTTCGTTCAGAGGCAGCTGTTGTTGCTCTGCGGAGCGCGGACCCCGGCAATGCAACCGAATGTGCTTGCAGTTGGTATGCCAGCCAGCTCTTGATAGCAGATAGACTGCTGCCAAAGTTTTCCCTTATCATGTGCAGTTGAGGCAGCAGTGCAGAGCAATGTGCCTCCTTGCGCTCCAGGCTTTCGAGTTTACAGAGCTTTGCAGTTAAGTTACAGTGATTTCTTGTGAGTTCTGAACATGGCAGGCTCGAGCATGTAACCATGGCGGCGAAGGCCAGTGCCTCAGGCCGCGGCCGTCAGGCTGTTGAATCATACACTTTAGTGTAGGTGTTTTCGCCAAGGCCGCTGAGACCCGTCCTCCGCGGCTGCGGGTAGGAAGCTAAGTGCCAGCTTTGTTGCTTCTTTCACGCGACAAGCGGTATAATGGAGTAGGACATGTTGGAAATGCAGTGTTGCGACGTGACAGATGATTGAGGTTGGCATGAGCATGGTCGTGCACACCATGGCGAAGGAGGCTTCAACTGACTCCACAGACATGGTGTGCTTTCCTGCCTTCACGCATGTCATGCATAGCACATGACAGAATAACAAAAAATCAATTGTCCTTTGCAGGGAACCAGTGCGGAACAAGGCCGTCATTTGCAGATGCTTTTGACTGGTCAGGAAGATGCCGCCCGGCATGGTCCTCGGACGATCGTGGCATGTATTGGCCATCCTGCTTCGTGACAAAGTCATGGCTAAACATTCCTCGACTTGCTTGTCAATGGGTTTCGTGGGGTAGGCGGATGGAGCTGCGCATTTGTGGCAGAGGTTGTGTAGTTTGCAAAACGTGCAATGGATGTTCTTACTCGGTTAACGTTTGTGGCTGCAGGCTTCACGCACGCTACTGCGAGGAAGCGCAGTGCCCTCAGATTGTGACATCAGTTTGGACGTTGAGCATTGGCAATGGAATCGTAAACGTCACTCACACATGTGGTTCTGGTGATTCTTCCGTATGACAGCGGTTATGCAGCATGCACTCAGCATCGTACCGATGGTTTTTCAAGATTGTTGTGCTATGCCGTGTTGCATCTGCTTTGTTTGGGCGATGGCCGGCTCAAGAAGCCCTTGAAGGTTAGATTTTCCTGTCTCTTTTTTCGACGAAGATGGAAGCCGAGCCGCCGACACTTGGAAACCCAAGAGGAGTGACTTCTGGCGCCGCTCACAGGCTCACAGCCAGATTGAAGGTTTGCATGATATCGTTTTGTTGCTTCACCTTCCAAACAAGGCTATCAGAGAGCATTCGCAGCACGTGCCTACATGTGCTTCACGGTGAGGGATGTCACGACTGCAAGGACGGACCGGGTCCGGCTCACGTTGGCAGTGGCACCCGTGGATGACCAGGTGCTTAAAAGAGAGAGGGAATCAGCAGGTGGCTGCAGATTGCACCAGTTTCGCTAGACGGCCATATCTCAGCCTTGACAGAGTCTGGACTGTTCATGGCTTAGCCGACAGGATGGGCGAAGCAACTCTGCACGCTGCTTTGCAAGAACCGGGCCGCATTCTGTTGAGAACTTGCTGTCCACAAGTGTATCCTCCTGCTTCGGATCCAAGAGCTGTTTGTAGCGACGAGAGAGATGTCACCTGAGAATGTTGGCAGAAAAACTCTCCTCTCAGGAAGTGACGTGGCCGACGCTGTTGCGGCACCTTGGCGTTTCTGTCTTGGAGAGTTGCATGTTTTTCTGGCAAGGTTTGAGGATCATGCCGGTCGGGCGATGTAAGTCCCCTCTGCATCGGTAATCTTCCGGTATGATACAGAGGTCCGCAATCTTGGTCAATGTATGCTGTGTGTGCGCGTCCTTGCAGAGGAACTACGCAGCGACCAGAGGAGTTTAGCTGCATCGCTGAGTGCCGCAATGCAATCTCTGCAAGCGCCTTGGCTTGGACGGATGGCTTTTTGACGCATTATTCATTAGTTGTGCGGCTGGAAATTTGTTTAGCATGCACGCTGTGTTCGTGCTGCATTGGTCTCAAATGCCTTCCGCTGTGAGGCCACTACAGTCTCAGGACCCATTTGGCCCTTTAAGCTATGCCACTGGCAGAGCACTTTGAACAAGATCCGCCGAATTGTTCCCAGCTGTTTTAGGCGGTTTCTGAAAATGGCTTTGAAGACTGCCCTGGCAGTTCCCGAGAGTTGCCTGATGATTCCAAATCCTTCGTCAACATACATACCAACAAACCCCCAGATCCCCCAGTCATTCCAAATCATTGTGTTGAATTGCGCACCTTTTCCAGAGATGCATCTCCATTGCCACTCAACACATCGTGAGTTTGATTGCTCGATGAAACTGCTTGCAATGCTAGACTAGGTTTTGCATTCGTTTGCTGCTGCAGCTGCGTGTTTGCAAAAAGACGGAAACGTTGGTTCACCACAGATACCATCTCGCGTTGTCGTGGGTTGGAAACGCCGTGACAGACTCCACCCTGAATGTTTGCCCACCATCCCCAATCATGCAGAAGAGGCTGCACCTCAGAGTTTTGTGTGCGACATGGTATTTGCACAGTACAAAATGCTGGATCCTATTGCTGCGCTCGTGAGCACAGACAGTGCCTTTGGGGTTCTTTCGCCTTAGCAGCTTCCATCAGCTTCCACTGGTTTGTGTCCTGCATCGAGTCAGAAGCTGAGTGGACGGAGTTTCGTGTGAGAACTGCCATGCTTCGCAGGCCAGTCACGACTTGGCGCTCCAGGCGGAAGAGATGGGGAAAGCATTGACAAATTGTGATGAATCCATGTTGCATGCCAGTCGAGGGTTTGGTGAACGTCGAGAAATGTACATTAGTGAAGTGTGCGGTCTCAACGCTGCTGGCAGGTCATGACCAAGCATTTTGACATGATATCTCGCGACGACCTGAGTCAGTGACAGCCCGCCGTACAGCTTAGAAGCCGCAGTCTGGTCACCTGTGGTCCACAGCCCAGGGGTTTGTTCTCGACTTTTCGCCTCAAGCTAAGGAGCAAAGGAAGAGCTATCGCAGCTCCGGAGCCAGGCATCTCCGGGAAGCCAGGCGGGGGAGTCGCTGGGCGAGTGAGTTCGACATGCAGACTTATTGGTTCAAGTGTTGGGCTGTTTCAGAGATACTCAACTCGAGGCAGGGAGGAATCGACAGCCATCCCAGAGCGGAGCCATGCACTTTGGCGGAGATTGTGCAGCTTGAAAGAGCGCGTGGTGTGGATTGCACGTGTTCCATGACACGAGACCTCGTCTATCTCTGACTGACTGGTGGTGGTGGATTTGCACGGAAAGGATTAGTGGTTGCCCTGCGGCTTTTGGCACCTGCTGGTTCCCAGGCATATGACTCCGCCCAGTTTGTTGGGAGCTGTGCCAGACGAGGACAACGATGACAAGGAGGGTGTGCCGCTGGCTTAGCTTGCTTCATTTCGGGCATCAGCGGCACAGGTCCCAGCAGACTTGCTGCGGCACAGGTCCGACATGCGTCCGACTCCGACTTTGCAGCTGTCTTCGCCACGTCGGGACTTAGCGCCCAAGCCAAACTTGACCGGTGTTTTCGCAGACTTTACCCCAATAAATCTAGTGACTACAGCGCGCACATTGCACGTAGCTGGCGGTTCGCAGCACAGAATGTCCAGTTATACGGTAGATTTCACCATTTCACCACTGTTCATCCAAGCAGTCCAAGCCACGGAGGATCCAGAGTCGAAGCGCAGCCGGAGCACCTTCATCAGGGAAAATGAAGAGAAGGCGAGTTAAGCACAGATGCATCGCTGTGCCCACGTGCCCCAGAGCAGCGCGCGGGATCTTTGTGGTTTAGCCGCTTAGCCTTTCCTGGTCCCGGGATCCTCGATTTCTTTTCAGAGGCACCTGAGCAGGTCCATCACACCCCGGGCGGCCGCTTCTCGCTGCCGGAGCTGAAAGCCTCGCCTCGCTGGAAGCCAAGCTTTCTGGAAGACACTGCCGGGGGCGGGGCTGCCGAGTCAACATTTGCAAAGGAAAGGGGTCAGGAACCGAGCCTCGCACATCAGCATGGGAAATCCTCCGTGAGCAGTGGTGCGATCTTGTTGGTTTGGAGAGTCTGTCGTCCTTCTGCAAGCTGCTTGCTCTTTTCCAGCTGAGTCAATTTGCTTTTTGTAGGTGCTCGGCTCAGTGCGGGCATGGCGAAGGCCGCTTGTCAGATGGAACGGGAGGGCAGGAGCGGAACAAGGCAGAATCACGCCAGACTGCGCGTCCATCTTCAACCGGCTTCTGTGCCACACATCAGTGTGTGTTTTGGTCACTTTTGTGGCAGTCTTGCTGCTGCCTATCAAGGCGACGCGTGCCAAGAATCAGACTCTTGGCCTTGTTCGGGTATCCTAATACCATGAAAGCCACACAATTGATTAAAAAGCTTGCTTCAAGCCTTCAAGCGATGGTTCTGTGAATGGGAGACCTCACACCGAACAGCGAGACCAATCCCTGAAGTCTTATAGACAGTCTACGCAGACATAACATGATTCACAATCCCATGTTTGCTCCAAGCCCTCGCCCCAAACCCTTCAAACTCTTTGAATGTGCAGGTAGTAGATCGTTGCTATATATCAAGTTTGCTTTCCCTTCATGTCTGAACGACAAGGATTCTGGCGAGGCAGAAGACCGCCAACCTCTTTGTGGACGAGGCATTGCTTTGCTCGCTTTTCTCGCTGGATGTACACTCTTCGGGGCGCAGGGTTCAGGGATTATGGTAACCTTTTTCCTGGCAGTAGGTTTTGTTTCGAGAGACTGAGTGCTGGATTTTCGACAGCATCTGAACATGGCAAGAAATCGCAGTTTGGGAAGTCCACAGGCTTGACAAAACAGCAGCCTGTGAGTCCATGATCAGCCTCAGGAGGACCTCAAGGCGAAGGTGAGGGCGGCGATTGGAGAGCCGGAGTACGATGCCACCCGCCCGTCAGCCATCACTTACTTGTCTAGCCTCTGCTTATATGGGCGTAGGGAATCAGTCTTTGAGTGCTTTGGGATCACATCGAAGGTGTGACATTGCAAGGGAATTGCAAGCTGGAGCTAGACTTGAGTCACCAGCGTTGCTAGATCGAGCGATTTTGCAACTTGTGAGTGCGTGCGGTCGCATTTCGGCTCCGGTGAAGCAACCCTTGCGGCCTTGGTGGTTTCGTGCCTCAAATTTTTCTGCCTTCTGTATAGGGTTTTGGGCAGAGACGAAGCACGTGCATGTTCAGGAAGGCCTTGGTCGTGATGGCGGCTGCCGTTCGCGCAGAGGGATCTGGGAGCATGGACCCAGGTGCTTTCCTGCAGGCCTTGCCGGGGAGCTGGAAAGGCTTTGCAGTCCAAACCCCATTGGGGCGGATGCCGTACAATCTGGATTTCAAAGTTTCGGATGACCGCGGCGGCGTCAAGGGCGTCTCGCCTACCAATGGTGTTGCTGTGCATACTTGGAATTTCAAGGAATCACAGGACAAGGAGGGTCTCCCACAGCTTTCCTTGAACTTCCATTCGACCTTCGGCAACAGCTTTGCCACCGGCTTGGTGGCAACTTCTGCCGATGCTGACAAAGGTATGAAGTTCTCCGGAGGGCAGCCAGAGAAGCTGGAAGTTTGGGTACGGTTGGGCTCGACACTTTCACATGAGACGTGGCAAGCAGAAATCCTGCTCGATGGCAATCCGCATGTAAGCATCTCTGCTCTGCGGCCAAAGAAGGCTTGCAGCGGGAGCTGAAATGTAGATACATGTAGCGACCAGCATCTCTATCGGATAGACCAGATTTTGCCGATGTGCTTTGAGGCTCGCAGACATGAAGTGTATGCCTCCCTGCACTCGGTAATTGCATGGAGCTGAAGACAAGTCCGGGGTGCTCCGCCGGCCTGGTCAAAAACATGAGCGCTCGTAGTTCGTGAAAGCCGTGAATTCATAG